ACCCTGGTTCGCAGTGGGTATGTGTCTGGCCCCCTAACCATAGGTCAGCAGTTTGTGAGCCCATCAGCGCATCACCAGAGAAAGATGAGGCTTTCCACTCCTGTAAAGAGCTAGGGTCTCAGAAACCTGGGGCAGTTCCACCCTGTCGTATAGGGTCATTGTGAGTCGGAATCGACCGCATGCCAGTGAGTTCTCATCCGTTCTAAGACTTCCTTGAAAGAGCCTACTGCTTTTGTGCAACACCCCACCCCCACCCCCTCCACCCCCCGCAATTTCTAAGACCACAGAGCCCCAGCCACCTTCCCCTGGTCAAGGTGACCAGCTGCCCTGCTTTGCCCAGGGTTGAGGGGTTTCCTGGGCCACTGGACTTTGAGGGCTGAAACCAGTAAAGTCCTGGGGAAAACAGATGAAGGCGTCACCCTACTGAACCATGACCAGGGGCATCAGAAAGTGCGGACAAGTGGAATTGAAAGGTAAAGGAACTGTTGGGGGTACATTGTGACCCCGACACTACCTAGAACCCAGGGCCCATGGTGGTGAGCCTAACAGGTGTCAACATCTGGTGGCTTCGCTTCACGTCCTATCGCTGTTGACTGCCCCTCTGGGTGCCTGACACTTGCTCTTAACAGGTAGAAAGCTCGTCGTTGGCCAACTAAAAGGGCTTTCTTATTTCAAGAGCCGTGAGATTCCCGAGCCATGTAGCTGCGCCCCTGTGGGTGTCCCAGGGTTAGGGTGAGCCCTGCGTTAGCTACTGGGACAAGCGCCTTTTCCCTCGTCCCCAGACCAGTAGACAAGAAGCCCCATTGTCTGCCTGTGAGGGAGCCAGCACTGCATATCGATGGTCGTTTGTGAGGAAAGGAAATCGTTTGGGATCTCGAGCACTTGTACCACACGCTAGTTAGGCTGCTAACCTCAGTGTCGACAGTTCCAAACCACCAGCAGTTCCGAGGGAGAAAGATGACGCTTTCTACTCCCATAAAGATTTACTGTCTTGAAAATCCATAGGGGCTCTTCTACCCTGTCCTGTAGGGTTGCTCTGAGTCGGATTTGACTTGATGGCAGTAAGTTGGGGCACCTCCCAACTGATCCTGACTTCGCTGGGCAGTCTCAAGATAAGATTCAGCCTTCCCCGATCTTACTGTCTTCTTTCTAAGGCCTGGTTCAGGGCCTTAACCCTCTGAATGGTCAGTGTGAATGTCCCCGGAGTGCAAGGCCCCTGCCTCCAAGTGTGTGTCTTCAAAGGGTTCGTGGGAAAATTCCTCCATCTCTTCCATATCTCCATGAGATTTTTGAAGCCTTCCTAAGGTTCTCAGTCGTGTAGAGGAGTGGAAGGTCTCCCTGGGTGGGAGCTGCTATGAGGGTGGGAGCTGCTATGAGCCCGTTGCTGTTATTGACAAAAGAGCCCAGAGTCACACTTGTTGATGCCGCATGTTTTCTACGTCAGAATCAAGTACTCTTATTCCTGGTAGTGCAACAGTTCAGCACTGGGATGCCAACCCAAAGGTCAGCTGTTCACCGCCATCCCGGGAGCCCTGGAAGGAAGTACTGGCCATCTGCTCCATGCAGCTTCCTGCCTGGGAAGTCCCGTGGGCAGTTCCAGTCCGTCATTGGGCATGGCCGAGTCTGTGACTCCTAACAGCATCAGCGACTCTTGGCCTGGTTTTATAATCGAGGGGAAGCCTAAAGCGAGGATGTTGTTGTTAGGGGTCCTGGCCTGGCTGCTGCCTCTCATGGCCCTGTGGACAGCAGTGAGTCTGGACCGTCTGGACAGTCCGTGCTGTGCTAGAGCCCAGCGTCGTAGCCACCCTGTCAGTCCATCTTGTCGAGGGTCTTCCTTTTCACTGGCCTCTGACTTCACCGAGCATGATGTCCTTCTCCAGGGACCGCCCCCTCCTGACGCCATGTCCAGAGTGTGTGAGACGAGGCTCTCCATTCTCACTTCTAAGCAGCATCTGTCCATTTTTAACTGCGAGGCCCCCCTTGAGAATCTGAGGAAAACGCAGGACTCCTCCCCGCTCCCCCAGACACACGAGCACACTTAATACCTGCCGACTCCGGGGTCAGAGGCCAGCGCCAGCATGTAGCCACCGAGCAGCATGAGGCAGGTTCCTTCAACTGAGGCCACATTGCCTGTGACACCGAGGTGCTAAGGGTCCCACCCAGTAAGATTGATTGGAGGTGCAGCCGAGATGGTAAAGCATCTGGACAGTGCTTTGCCGTTCCAAGGGTTCCCTAAGTAGTAGGCATTATTTTACAGATTCCTCATGGTCGCTTATTTTAGCTGCAATGTAATCACATTAAATATTTTAAAATACACATTGGTTTGTTTTTTGAATGACAAACTCATTCATGTTGAAGACAGGTAAACAGGTTTTGAGTTAAAATGGGCCGGCCTTTCCCTCTGGGGAACACAGTGTGAATACCATATTAGGCGTGCGTGTCTCCC